AACACTTAGTGCCGGTAGTGGTTTTGGGCGTCTCACGTTCAGGTGTTTTCCCTTTATAGTCTGATCGAAGTTGGGCTTGGTTAGGGGAAGGCCGACTACCTGAGGGTCCAGTGGGTTTGTTGTAAGGTTGGCTAGTGGAAGACTTGAATGGGTCGGGTCTAGAGTCTTGAGTCCTAGTGGCGTGGCTCCTAGACTCTTCTAAGTCTACTACAAGACTACAGGCAGCTTCATACGTATTTACTCCTCTAGCAAAGAGTTCATTTCTAAGATCTTCCCTCAATCCGGCTCTGAACATGGACAGAAGTTGTGTAGGAGTGGTGGTCTCCTCCCCGTTACAACGAATCAAGAAACCATCAAAGGTTGATATGTATTCCTTAACAGTTTTGCTTCCTTGAGTTAACATATTCCAACAATCTAAGAGTCTGGGATAGTAAGATGGAGGGAGATATTTTCTTTTCAGTTCTTGCTTCATCGTTTCCCAGTCAGCTATGGGATATTCTCCTCGAGTCTCCCTCATGTGTTCTACGTTAGTCCAGTATTGGTTGGCTCTACCAGTCAACTTTATCTCAGCAAATCTAACCTTCTTCTCTTCAGAAATATTATACCACTTGAAATAGCTATCCATTCCTTTGAGTCAATCAAGAAAAACTTGAGGTTCTAACGTACCATCAAACGTCGGGGCATCTATCTTAATACTCTTAAGGAGTTGGGTGTCGTTGTCTCTCCAAGGTGCATCGCGTCCTACCTGATCTTGATGGGGTCGGTGATTTGGTCGGTAGTAGTCTCTAGGAGGTCCATACTCCGTTCGGTTATCTTCGCCATAAGGAGATTGGGGTCGAGAGGGGGTGTAGATAGCCGGGTGTCCTATTCTTTCAATGTTGTCTAGTCTTTCTCCTGTATGACGCTTAAGTTCTGCTAAACTCGTTTGGGTATCCTTCATTTGTTGCGTAAGTGCACCTAATTGGCCCATAATCATGTTTAAGGTCACTTGCATATGTGTGGGATTCATGGTTAAGTGCTAGGGGCTACTAAGGAGGGCTTCCAAGTCGAAAACAGCAGCTAACCACGTTGGAAAAAGTCCCAAAGGTCCTCAAATGTTGCGGGAATGACTAGGACAGCAGAGGCCAGCAAGGGTCAAAGATGTTCAGAGGTGTAAGAGGGATCCTAAGGCAAGGGCAGCACCCAAACAGTGACTTTAGGTTCGCTAACGGATGCCTAACAGCTGCAGGAAAAGAGTGGACAGCAACTGGAAACTACCTAGAACTCACTCTAAAGGCTAAACTAAGTGCAGAAAATTAGTGGGCAGCAAATGTCTAAGTGGCCTAGACTATTATGGACGTCAAGGTGAAGGTGGCAGCACTTAAACACATGAATATACTAAGCTAAGATGACGTAATTGATGCAGATTTTTCTGGACAGCAGTAGGAAAACAGGAAATAAAGCTATCTAAATGACATTATGCATGCAAACCACTAATGATAAACTAAAGTGGACTCCTAGGATGCAATCTAGCAAAGGGAAAGCATGCTAGCCATGCTCTAATACCAAATGATGTGAAACAATCAAAAATTGCACGTGAAATTTATAACGAATCACAAAGTATACGAATTTAAGATTAAAATATCATAAGGTGAGGTTCAAGAATTCTCAATTGTTAAAGTTGTTATGATAAGCACTTACAAGTTACAACTAGTTGTTTAGGCACAATTAGCGATAGCTCTCGAAATTATCACAATAAGGCAAATGCGGAGTAAAATAGAATCTCACAGCTAATATTTAGAAATTTCACAATGAGTTACCTTGCTCACTCACACTCAAGTAGGGCTTAGCGGGAGAAAGTCTTCAGCAAACCCAACGATGCCACGAGGACGGTAGCAAACCCAACGGCCTTGAACCACGGAAAGGTTGACGGTGGCGAGAACGGCGGGAACGATCGACAGTTGATGCTCCAATTGTAGCTTGGACTTCGGCGGTCGATGACGTCGGCAATAATTGGCACAACTCGTTCCAAATACTCTTCCACGGTGGAGTCGTCTTCAAATCCCAAGTCAAAGAATGGGGATCGTAGGATGTTAAGGCTTCCGTCGGCGTTGAATACTAATCCCCACTCAAACTCCGGGTCCGCCATGCATGCTTGTCGTTGGAGAATCCTTCGAGGAGAAGAGTATTAAATGGCGGTGAGGGAGAGTCCTTGCGTTGGAAGAAGGAGGAGGAGAGAGGAGCCGGCAGGATTTCCAAGGGGAAGGGGGATTTCGGCCACGGTGGGGAGAGGGGCGGGTGTTTTGTGAGAAGGGATTTAGGTTGGGTGAATGTAGCAAGAGATTTTCTAAAATCTAAATTTAATATCAGG